GCACTTGAAAGTGATTGTATGTAACTTTCTGAGTTGAAAGTTAGCAACATCAGATAACACCACTTCTAGGGAGTTTAATGGATTTATATTCTCTATGTGTTCACGATATATTTATAAACTAATAATGAAGAATTGTTTATGTCCCGTTATGAAAATCGAAGGATGGAAAGCATTTACATCCCTTATGCACGATAACAGATGTATCCATCTTACGGAATGGCTCACTGTAAGCTCTGACACAGCGAGAATTTTCACAGTGAAGATATTTCATTACGTAATATGCTCACTTGGGCATTCTTTTTTAGGAGGTAATAGCACTATATGGGTTAAGTGGTTGAAATATTGCATCTCTTAAGCAGGAAAATGGGATCTGTAGCAGACACTTACACATACATCTGATCCAGAATCTACTAGAAATAGAACAGGTTGGAAGTGTCATTGATACCAATGGCTTAAGCCCTGCAGTGCTCCAGTTAACCCTAAGAGTGTTTACCGATCCTGGAATCGTAGGTGGTAGGGCTAAATCCTCTATGCTTATCACAGAGGAATTTCCCACTTTCTGGGAAGTAAGGTAGTCTAACGTAAGAGATGTCACACATGATAACATTCAACTGACGCCTAAAATCTAATCAATAACTCATTTAGACTGAATTGTAATCTCAGATAGACCACCCATTAATGCTTCTGTGGTGGTCTATAGGTGCTTGGCACTTTATTTTTCAAAGTTACAGACTTTTCACTTTATATCATACAAAATAAAAAGGTAACATTTGAACGCGATTTGTTGCTAACAGTATTTTCTTATTTACAGAATGTGTATCTACTCAATATTATTATATCAGTACGATGCATCAGGCGTTAGTTTTATGAACAAAGGTTAAGTGACTGGCCTCGCCCTGAACCAAAAATTAGTTATCGGATTCTCTTGTGATTTTATAGGAACGGTTGAGCCTTTCGTAGTATTTATCTTTCCAGATTTATATTAAGTCCCATGATGATAATAGTCGGGTACTTTGACCTTAGTATTTTACCTCACAGTCATAGTGTGATATTCAATGGACTAAACTGCCTTGTGGTGAGATGTCAGAGGTGTCATTAAGTTGACAAGGTGTACCTATGAATGCAATTGCTTACTACTCTGATTCTGCAACTGTTAGGAATTCAGACAGTGTTTCTGACATTCGTTCACGTTGTGAACATATTGTATAAGAAGGGAATCTTCACCAGACTATTTGATTCTCTAGTAACAGTTCTAGTTAGATTCTAATCAAATAAACCAATATTCATATGAGAAACAAAAAACCTTAATTTCATATATTTAATAGAATGCTATTTTGTTTTGTGGACACAATTATTCTAACTAAAGAACTTTTCTTCATTTCTATTGGTAGTTGAACCAGTTAGTCCTCTTGATGTGTAATTAAACTTTTAGGCACATTGGAGTTCTGACCGGTGTTAGTTAGTTTGGAGATTCGGGGGAATTCATGCCCCTATGAAATCTTGACCTACATCACTCAGTGCTGTATCAGCAACGTCATCCGTCAGCTATTCCGATAGCAATTGACCTTCTGTGCGACTGGATTTGATACACTGATTGGTTACAAAAGATTAGCCAATTTCATGATGTATAGTCCCGATCGATGACGGTTTCCATAGATTATTTCATAGTGTAGTTTTCAAGCTCGAATGCTCAGCATTACAAGTTTCAATTAGCTTTAAACTAAGGTTCTGTCTTCCTGCCACTTGCCTCAAGCCAATTAATACCCATCGAAGTGTGTCTCGATGGTGAGTCGTCTGGCTTGGTACCCAGATCGCAGAATAATCGACAGAAATGGATCAGCATTCAGGATTAGACAAAATGAAATTGGTTGGTCTTTAGCAATTTCAGCCACTGAGAAATATGAAAGATCTACATATTTTTTATTATATCCAATTAGAAATTGCTGAAATTCTGCAGTTAGAAGTTCCAAAAATAGGAACAAGAGGCTGTATAACTTCGAACAAAATACAACTGAAAAACGATTATTTAGGAACTAAAATGACTGTTTACTGAAAACTGAATCAATATCTGACTGTGATCAGTGAGAAACAAACTTGATAATGATTCTGAAGTCATTCATACATCAACTAAGTTAATGTCAGAGATTTAGTCACATCTTTCAGGTTTACAAAAGCATATATGAACAGACTGGGGGAATCCGATCGGCAAAACCCTTATAAAAAGTCTTCCAATATATATATATATGCTAAGTGAAACAAATGAATGACTTGAATTAGTGAGTTTAGTGCAATTTAAAAGTATTTTCCGTTGACGTACAGACTTTACCCTTTGAGTGTGTGAAAGTATTTAAGTGATTTCATCTGAGTAAATTCCAGTCGTTGGTTTAAGTTGGCCCTACTCACTGGTAAAGACATAATGTACATATCGCGCTTTAAAATCACTGAATTGATGAAGAAGGTTTATCATTTAACTATCTAAGATAGCCGTAGTTTGGCAAACTAGTATTTATACTAGGTGACGATTGAAGGTGAGATGAAAGTTTGAACCGTGGCCGCATTCAAACCAGCAACCAGCAGGTTACCGGCCCGTGGTCTACCAACTGAGCTACGAGGTCCAACTGCTGACCAGAATTTTATTTCACTTCAATAACCAATGGTTTTGCCCGACTGCCATGTGAATTAGTGACGCGTTACCACCGCTTGGTCGTATTCAAGAAGGGTTCAGCCTACATACAAGATGTTGTAGTAGTTAAAATGAAACAGCTGAATTAGAGTGATTCCATTCTCGTCTGTTTATTAATGTTACACAAGTGATATAATATCATTTACTACATAACGTTTCAGATATAATTTGTCATCCATACTTATATCAGGAAACTCCATAATTTTGAGATATACTCTACATAGCTCCAAATTCCTCTTCCTCCTTGTGATAAGAGTAGTGGAATTTTCCACATGTCTGGGACAAGCGTCACTGTGTGACACTAATAAACAAACAAGAATGTAATCGCTCTATTTTAGTTGTTTCATTTTAACTACTACATTATTTTGTAAGTAGGCTAAACTTTTTCATCAATTCAGTGATTTTAAAGCGCGATATGTACATTATGTCTTTACCAGTGAGTAGGGCCAACTTAAACCAACGATTGGAATTTACTCAGATGAAATCACTTAAATACTTTCACACACTCAAAGGGTAAAGTCTGTACGTCAACGGAAAATACTTTTAAATTGCACTAAACTCACTAATTCAAGTCATTCATTTGTTTCACTTAGCATATATATAACGGTTTTGCACTCGGATTACAAAAAAACTGTACTTGTTAATATTTTATAGACTACCAAAATTTGCTCTCCAAGACATTTATTTGAGTGGACTATGAACAGTGAAAAGGAAATAAGACTTTTAACTACTTTATCTGGTATTTTAGGTGACTGCACTTCGGTGCATTCATTCATGACAAATTTTGTGCCTATAATGTAGAAAAACAGTATCATACATTTAACAGAGAGATAATAAAGCTTCAAAAACCTACTGACCTTCTAACAGGGTTGTTATACTAGATATTTAATTTATTTGGTAACTTATAAGGTTGAAAAAGGACTTTGCAAATACTCATTGGTCAAAGGGTAATCATGTCAGCTTTCTAGAAAGTGGCATCAAATTGATAACTGCAATATTCCAATGCACTTTCCTCAGCAAAGGGGATGCATTCATTCCAGTAACTTTGAGTGAATAATGCAGCTAATCAAAATAACCCAGCTTGGTGAACTCTGTAATTATTATCCTATGTTTATTTCGTGTTGGAAGACATTATTATACACTTGTTTAAACCGGCTGATCTTTAATTTTCTCTTGAAATTTGCTCATGATTTAAAAAAGAAGTCTACCGTTCGGATGTAATTCATCGCTTGAAGTTCCATCCACTGATATGAAAAAGCATCAAGACTCTGCTGATCTTCAGACAGTCTATTTTCCATATTTCTGAAATAACAGCACTCCACTATGCACTGAAATTCAGCTATTTTCGACCTTTTCTTTTAACCTGAAATAAGCTTACACTACAAATATATAAAAGACATTGGCAAAAGTAAAATACTTCAAACAAGTGATAGGGGAAAGTGTTCATTTAAAAAATTCAAATGATTACGGATCAGTTTTGGTCTATAGGAATGCACTCTAGACTGCAGCAACCTAGTAATGATGGGTTTGATATAAACAAGCACAACTTCTAACCCTTGAAACAAGTTTATCAGTTTACCAGCAATTGTACACTGAAGAGTGTTAGCGTGTCCCATCAAGAAAGTGGTTGCCGCTAAATTCTATAGTATAAATATCATTTTAATAACCCACTTTTGCGAATCAAGTTGCATGGTTGCACAATACCACTAAATATCACTTACAACTTCTAAGCTCACAACTACTATGATTTCCTTATGACACTGGGGCTGAAGATGTCTCCAAGCCTGGTGATGAAACGTCCACAACAAAGTATCAAAGCTCAGACAATATTGAACCGCCATCATCCCCATCCTAAGAGACAAATATTTTCCATCAGTTCATGAAGAGGTGTGTTTTTGCCGAAAAGAATACGTAATATTTGCTGCAAATATAAAGTAGTTCCATTGGTAACATCACAATAACAACGAATGGAAGTTAGGAAACTTGAGACTAGCTAAATATTTTAAAATGTGATTCACTCATTTAAGTAGTATTATAAATATCAAGTCGTTCACATCAGTTAAGCGTCAAATACACATAAACGATAAAACCACATATTCTTGTGCAATCGGGGATTATTGGATTGTGCATTAAAATTGTAAAGCGTGAACTTTTGCACCATACATATGCAGATGCTTCTAATGCAATTCTAGGCTAAGCATAAAACGGCCAACAGGAATGTACAAACTTAATAAAATTATTTCAACCAACACAAAATTTAAAGTGAATCTGATTTCATTCTTGTAAAGAAATTAAGAAAGCTTATTCATATTCTTACCGTGATAAAATACAGCAGATGCTATCGAGATGTCGATGAAAACTATCACTGAGAACAAAAAGTAACATTTCTCAGCGTTCATTACTACCATGATTCACAGAACTAAGGGATTAGTACATTTATTGTTCAGCTGTTCGAAAAAAAGGGAGAAAAATCAAATTTTTATGCTAAGTAGTTGCAATTTTGAAAGATTTCGTAGTGTTTTCATCAGGTGAAAATACAATATTATATTCAAAATATAAACGCATGTGAAACTGCAGTAGGGATGCTACTGACTGATCTGTAATTGGTTCAAAGAAAATACTGATCTGTCCAGTTGGGTTTCTTGAAACACATTGTGAAACGACTCGAGTCGCCTACAGCACGTAAACCTTTACGTCAACAGCCACTTGTGTGAAGCATTGGTTTTCACTAGAAATACTTTTTGAGAACCTTAATGTGACAAAGGTCACAGATATGGAACAAGCACAATACATTTTAAAATCATTTACATTTCAGTTGAACAGTCACTGACAATGCATTCCGGTGCCCTGTGTAGGCAATGGAAACCTATTCAATAAAGTATATTAAAACAAGAAATATAGAAGTGAGACACTTCGAACGGTGCTTATCAAATGGTACTGATTCCTAGTTTTAATCTCCTACTAAGTGTATTTTCCAGGTAAAGATATAAACAATAATGAAATTCAATTCCGTGACCTCATACACTAAGCTACTCCCCATAAAAATTCGGTAACGCCTAACGATACCACCAACCCAGCAAAACCACAAGTAGTAGATCATAAAATCCTGATGTTTGTTCGCCTTAAATCGAAAGCTTTGACTACTGAATCAGTACGTATGTAGACATAGGTGGTCAACATAGGCATAATTCAAGAACTTCTAGGAAAATTTAGAAAATTGTTCAGTGACGAGACTCTTTTTGGTGATTTCATTCACTGAGCTGTTCGGTCATATTTACATACAATTTTTCAGTGGCACTGAGCGATTTTTGTGAAATTTATAAGCAGTTTGTTAAGCATAGTGGCAGATAAATCGATAAACAAGAATATCACTGACATTTTCGACTGACTTGTAGGGGCCATTCCTAAAACTACAGAAATAACCCGTTCGATTTCCTTATGTAATTTGAAAGGGTAGATGTTTCATAAAATAAAGGAATCACGTTGGTCAGTTCAGTAGTTGCTAAGGTGGTCTTTAGAATCACTCAGCATTTTTATCATAAAACAGTCAGAAGATTTATAAATAATGAAGATTATTCAAAAAGTACACTAACAAGCGGAACTACAGGTTTCTATGTAAATCAACGAAGAAACACTTTCCACCTAGTAAAATGAAATATTCCTAAACCTTTTCCTGTGGTAAAATGTATTCTGGAATATTTTCAAAACTCGTTACCAATTTCTTTCATCCTGATGACAAGACGTTTTTGAAAACATGAGTGACTTTCCAATGAGGACCAACTAGCTGTCTCTTTTAGATTCATAACTTAAAGAGAAGTAATCATTCAGAAATGCGTTGAAAGAATCGTTAGTTCATTTCCGTCACTGGAAAAATACACCTATCACTCACAGGTATTAATAAGCAACTAAAGTGAGTGTAATCGCTGACCGATTGATATTAGGAGTCAGTAGCAATAGTCGTGCTGAAATTTCAAACTCATAGAAATCTCTTAAACATACTACTTTGATCTTAAAACTTGGATTTAGGAATAGTACTGCGATTCGGATAGTAACAAAGTGCATAAAATAAGCTTTCACATAACAGTGTATATTGTATTCCCATGTAGATTGAAATCACATTAGAAACATAGGTTTTTGAGCTGCGTGACAAGTTGCCTATTTTAGTCTACGTATGTGTACTTACCTGTTAAACTGCCTGTCTAAAGTTGATTGCACTCTCCTTGTAATTACACCAGCCTTTGCTTACAAACCCGCATGCCACCCTTGATTTGTTAGAAATCAACAAATGGAAGCAATCGGCAGCCGAACATTCACGTGAATTGTCGAAATTAAGTCGACCTGATATGAAAATTTGCTTTCGAAAGCTATTGTCATAATTCATCGAGTCTGCTCGAGAATTTGAGAATTGCTCTTTAACATACAATGAATGCATTTTGAGGTTAATGGGGATTTTACTTTTAAGATAGCAATCATTACGGATTGACACTAGTTAGAGGACCAATGAAAACCTGGAAGCATTGGACAACTGTTTCTTCATAGTATGTGACTCATCAGCAGTACACACCAACAACTCGGCTAAATATTGAACTAAGAACCTTAAGGTATCAAGGAGAACGCATATTGACAATGACCCAACCTATCAACTAACAACGAAGTCAGATTTCAGGCCATCAGGGTAACCAACCGAAATAAACATAAGGACGATCCCAAGGCCTTGGCAGAAAAAACCAATCACACAAGGCCATCAGGATAAGCTACTAAGTAAAGTGCAGAGAAAAGCTTATTGCTCACTTCTTTCTGAAGTTTGTGCTGGTGATTTCGTCTAAAACGACAACGAAAGCTCTACGATTAAACAATCCAACTCAGAGAACACAACCCCAACAAGAACGCAATCACCATTCAGCCACTGGGTTAGAGTTCAATAGTTCACAGTTTCCTGCTTCTGTCAGTTCGCGACATAACGATGAACGCTACCTTACACCAGAACAAAAATGAATAAAACGAATCATTAGAAACTTACGGTACCACATGACCAAAACAAATTTCATCCTGTCTTACGTAGTTATTGGGTACAGCTGACCGCTCACCTAAATCCTTGCTTCCACTGTACAAAATTACAACTAAGTAACCACCTGTATTTCAGCTTGCATAACTACTTGGAAAATCATCACTTTACCTGATCACCATGAAACTAATAATCCTGTTGAGTGTACACCATCGATGTATATTATTCATTTTATCAATAATAGGAAAAGTAAATATTCGTCACCTACCTATTCAAGTGAACCATTATCAATGATCATCAGATATTAGAATCAGCGAAATCCGAAGTCAACACAAATTTACTGAATATACATATATTATGAATAGCTCACAAAGTAGTAAATTTTTGTTTCAATGGTTCAGTTAATCAATATGTGAATGTTACTCCATCATAGACAAATAGTTGGATACAGCTGGAGTTTGTAAGATGAAAAGATGTTCACATATGGGAACATATGGGAACAATCACAGTGACTACTAGGGTGATACACCTTCTAACTAAATGTTTTAAAAGCTAAGATACCCGTTTAATACTAAGAGTATACCAACAGAATTCCTGCATAAGAGGCTTAGCATTATATCAGACATAAGTTAGAATGGGTACGATTACTATCAGTAGTTATGCTATGAAACTCATGCAGTGTATTTCAGTTGGTTGCTGCAAATGTCGAGTTCAGCAAAATGACCATTACAAAAGTCCTCAATTTGAGCTATAAAATCAGCTATTCTCTGAGTTGAACAGGAAATTTAAGAAACAATATCTAAAATAACCAGATGGATGAATACACTTTTTTAAAGCTGTGTTTTTAATCGAATGATTTTTGAGTGATCAAAATCTTTAATCGAGCGGGAACCAAAATTAAATTGGAATATTATGAGTTTTCTTTTGTCTCGTTGATTCTCTTCCACCACCACCACTACCACCTCAACAATATAAAAATGTAAATACTACAATAAAAGTATTCACATAGTGTTATCAAGCTGACAAAAAATTATTCATGGAAACAGGAAGTAGCACGAATGCAGAATGATGTAAACCAGTGAAAAAGGAGTACATTTTAGGACAGCCAATTATTTATAACATAGTTACGTGAACATTACTGAAGTGATTAACGAGCGGCTTCAGTAAATCTTATTAGACTTAGACTATTCTGTTCAGTGGTTGCTTTAAGTGATTTAAGACTGTCTACATTATGTCCGTCCATTATTCAGCAGATGACGAACACTTGCACTGGTAAGTGCTTGTGTACCCTTCAACCTCAAGTTCTTAGGGATTTGGTTAGAAAGGTAAAAAAGAACGCTTCTATATGTCCTCCCAATATATATATGCTTTATATATGCTTACACTACTCATGTATATAAGTGAGAGGAACTGCGTGCAACAAAATTCTTATCAAAGTAATACAAATGCCTTTTTGTGAAATACTTTCCTCACTGATAAAATATTGTCATATTTTCCGTGATCTCTCTCTGAATTTAATTTCACACGTATTCTTGGGTCTAGCTAGAAACTACACTGGATATCCGTAGTTACTGAGATCATCGGTAATCTTGGTATCTTCATCGAAAGTATCATCTAAGCAGATAACCTTTACCTGATGAACCAAACATTTTACTAACTTTGTTTATATTGCAAGAGCACAAAATTCAAAAAACCATTATATTCATCAGATGACGTCGGTTCCCTGCATACACTGCTTTTCATAGTTGAATCTGTTTTCTTTGTCAATGAGATATCTAGAAAAGATAGTTCTATTCTTACTTTTTGTCTCTGTGGTAAAGGTAATCAGTGGATAGATACTATTAAACTAATTCACTATTACCTCCACGTTCTTTCTGTTCCTCAGAACTAGGAATGTGCCATTCACGTGACGTCAGCAAAGTGGTTACTCACTTATTATGTCTACCGAACAGCCACTTTTTAATACTCGTAGGAAAATATCTTCCAGGTTCAAACCTAGAGGTTCTCTATAACAATACTATCTAACTGTCCACAAAACTCTATTTTAAGATGAAGTGTACATTCATTGAGTATCTTAAGGTCCTATACAGGAGGTCCAATTTCTATATTTGACGTTTTCAGTTCACTGTGTATTCAGTCAACTATTTTTATTAAGAGCGTATTGCTTTAATGGAATGACACTTTTCAAGATATAATTAACTTATTACTTACATTAAAATCTCTCATCCGCTTAATAGACATAGAAGCATGCTTCATGTTATGCTTACGTTTCACACTGCGATACAAAATACAATTTTATTAAAAAAGAATGTTTAGTACTGTATGTATATAGTGTGCAGTGTCATATATTACAAGGTGTATTCGGCATATATTTTTTTTAAAGCTCAATGCAATATGTAGTATAAAATTTTGAGAAGAAAGCTTTTCTGTAAACATATAAAA